ACACACACACACACACACGAAGGGTTTTACAAGGGGCCGTGTTGTTCCCTATGAAACTGAAGCAAAAACTGACAAAAAGTGAGCCGTCAGTGTACTGCATGTGTCCCACCTCGTTACAGACATATTCAAGCTTAACATTTTGTTGCATTAATCTTTTAAAGTCAGACCTCAGATGTTAAGCACAACTGACATTTTCTGCCGTCTCATCAATTGGAATTGGTTTGGTCGGCTCTTCAATCCAATCCCAACTACATAAATTAAAGTTTTTCTGCCTCCCTCTCCATCATGCAGCACAGAATGCGATATATGGGAACAGTGCGAGCACAAGCAAATCTGAGGCAGCCACACTGCATCGAAATCTTCATGTGTTGCCAACAGCTAATCATTTCAGAGACTTGGGATGCTCTAATTTGGCTCAAGTGAAAGTATTTGTCACCCATTCCCAACTATTTATTTCAATCTCCTCCCAGTGACACTGCGGGCCCACGCTGTGTTTACTGAAATTACACTGCTCTTCATTTCCCGCCCGCCCGAAATACAGCTGTGAGAGCCTCTGGAAATCTGTGGGGGAAAATACTAAATCAGAACGAACAAAAAACGTAGCACACTGTGCCTCCCTGTTTCCTAAAACCGTTGCACAGTTGAGAAAGTCTTTTCCCCTGAGGTGCTGAGGCCTATATTTACCAGAGGCCAGGAACTGGGAGTCTGCGTCTGGTTCAAGAGCCTTCGAATTTCCAATTCGGCTATCTCTGGGTGGGTAGGAGCGTTAGAGCCCACCCTCACTTTCCCTCCCACAGCTCTCTCTCTCTCTCCCTCCCTCTCTCTCTCCCTTCGCTCTTCATGTTATAGCACTATAGTGTACTGTTCATGTTGCTGTGGTTGCCATGGAGACCACTCTGAACAGCTTCCCTGGCTCAAGAGGCTGGACATGTACCATTTAGGAACAGACAGATGCTGTAAGGCACAAGAACATAAGCCTGTCAAATACAGACAGTCTAAAACACTAACATGTGTTTTCTGGCAGCGAGGACTTTATAAAATGTCTGTCACTTTCCAGTGTAGTATTCACAGTCTGAACAGCTACTGAAATACCTGTGCTGATGGGACTTTTAGGACTCCAGCTGCTGTCTTTTGCTTGGCACTTGACCAGCGGTGCATGAACTGAATTACACGGACCAGATGTCACAACAACTGTGACAGCAGCGCCAACAACAACCGCACAACTGGCACTCAGTGGACAGTTACAGCCCGCTTTAGTTGCACCCCTGAACCTCGTCTTGCAGAGCGTGACTTGCAATGTTACAGCACCAAATGCATTTCATATCAGATTATTGTCAAGTCAGTACTTTAAAAAAGTGTTTATATGAATAGTCTTAATAAAACTGCAGCTTCAACCAGCTTAGAAAAATAAATAAAAACACTTTTACACCTCTGTTTCCGTTTGTATTTTAACAGATCTTTGAGGATAGGAGGCCGACATTTTCTACCCCTTATCGCTCGGACAGCCACATACAGCGTCAGATAACTCGATTAATACTGCTGCTTACTACTGTCACAGTTCAGCAATCACTTGTGAGGGGAAAAACACCCCAACCAGAGGCCCCAGCCCCACTGACCCACTTCTACCATCATAAAATATGAAAGGTTTGTGTGAGTCCCCACACACACACACACACCTGCTCTCAGTGAGGACATGAGCACAGTCAGTGCTGAGTTTTAGGAACCACTGTACAGCTATATCGATGCACTTCTCTACATTCTCTAAATTGTACACCACGTTTGGTCAATGTGGTGTATCAAAGTGTGTGTGTGTGTGTGTGTGTTTAATGCAAAGAGAACTG